ATTCTGATTTTGTGCCCGGCTTTGCATTTTCACATGCTACACATTTGGTAGCATCTGCTTTATTTTGCAGGAGGCACATTTCACAGTCCCAGATTTCCTCAGGTTTCTTGAACTTGTCCAACCCTAGGAAGCCTCCCGAAGACTGTGAGACAGGTGTGGTGCTACTACTTGAAGCAGGAATCGAGCTTCCTAAGAAAAATAATAGGAAAACTTAGGAAGATTTTTCAGTTACATTATGTCAATTTCTCAATAATACAATTAAGCTCAATTTGTATTAGTCTGTCCTATCAAAGCACAAAGGGAACTCTGATGGCATAGTCCATAGGGCAACGTGCTGCTAACACAAAGGCCATACTCCTTTCAAGGTTTGAATCCACTAGCAGCTCAGTAGGAGAAAAATGGGCAATCTCCTCTCATGTAATTTATGGCCTCTGGAAAAAAAAATCTACTGGAGGGTCAGCTGTGAGTCAGTTCCGACCACCTGACAAAGTGTGTCTTTTGGTTTTATTAAGACATAAACCAAAAAGGCTGGAGAAAAAGCCGCCACCTACGGTGCCCTGTTCAGTGTCATAAATGAGTAGCTCACATTCAAGTAAGTTGCTCAGTGGGGAGTGTGCTCCCTCTTAACTAACAATTTGAATTACAGCAGGTTTTTGTTTTGGTGTTATTTTTTTTAAAAAGTTCATCTACTAGAGGTGTCAAAACCAAAATTAGATAACATTTCAGTTCCACTAGGACAGCTACAGTGAAAAGCAAATCAGAAAATAATAAATGTTGGTTAAGTATTGGGGAAGAAGCCCTGTAAATTGCTGTTGTTGTAAAACTACACAGGTGCTTTAGAAAACAATGTAGCAGTTTTTCAAACAATGAAAATAGAACTATCAAGTGAACCAAAAAGTCTTTATCTAGGCATATGACCAAAGACTTGGAAGCTGACTTCTACATGAATGATTTATAGCACTGTCCACAATAGGCCAAAGAAGAAACAACCAATTTGTGTTTATCCATTTATCTGCAAACAAATGAATAAATAAAATGTGGGACAAACATACACTTGGATACTTCTAAGTAGGAGAAATGAAATCTTGATACATACTACTTAGTACAGATGGAGCTTGAAGACATATTGCTGAATGAGATAAGGCAAATACAAAAGGTAAATGCTGTGTAACTTCACTTATATATAAACAAGAAAAGGCAAAATAACAGAAGCCAAAGTTTATCAGCAGGAAGGGGGAAAGTGAGAGGTTAATGGTGATGGGAAAACACCACCTTGATTCAGGGTAGGACTACACTGCTATCAACAAATCATAAACTAGTAAAAAGCTGATTAGGTAAAATACGTGTGATAATTTATGACAACAACAAAAGAATAACTGCTGAGGCTGCTTGTGTAGAAATCAAATACCTTATGGGACTTAGTTGAAGGTACAGAGTTATTTATTGTATTACAGGCATCCCTCAACTTCAGCCAGGTGGGAACGCTGCGGTGATAGGGAAGAGCCGACTGGGACAAGCCCTTCCCGGGAGCATGCATGCGACCCATGATGGCGGCAGTCAGGAGTAACCACATTTTTGAGCTGATAGAATTCCTAATCGTGGCCGTTAGATACCTTTAAAACGTAAAACTGACTTTAGTCCCGGTCATTTTTCAGGAAACAAAACATAGACTTGATGAAAAGTCAATCAATAACAACTGTGAGGAATGTGCCTTTCAGGACAAAATGGAAGAATCTGCCTCTCTGCCAACAAAAGGTAAGAAAGTAGAAGGGGCAGGAGAATACAACTGGAAACAGAGAACATGGGAAGTGGGGAGAGTGCAAAAGGAGGGAACTGTAACTTATGTTACAGAACAAAACTGTGTAATAACTGCTGAAATGAGAAACCAATTTGCTTTGTAAACTTTCACCCAAACCACAACTGTTGTGTGCTGTCAAGTCAGTATCAACTCATAGCTGACCCTCCAGCAGGTTTCAGAGGCAGTTAATTAATCACTTGGGGAGGAGAGTTCCCATCCTTCTCCCACAGAGTAGCTGGTCCATTTGAACGTTGTGCCTTTGAGATTACAATGTGACAAAACTGTAGGGAATATAGGATTATAAAATATAAAGTCATAGACTGTATTGGTTTCAAAGCACCAGTCTATTTTTGCATTGATTTTCACACAAAAGTAGTCTAACATTCACTCTGAAACTCAGTATCTGCTATGTTCAACCGTACTTCTATTACATTCTTTTAATAGACATTTATTATGTATTGAGGTACTGGAGACACAATGATTAAAAAATACTGTCTAAAAAAAAAAATACTGCCTAGCTTCCAAAGGTAATTCCAGTCTAAAAGGGGAAATAAAACAAGCACCACCCCCAAGATGAGACATGATAGAGATGATGTATCTTTCCACAGACACAGCATATCTAGAGAAGGGGATTATGGTACTGAGCAAAGCACAGATGTATGAAGAAGATACAGTAGAGATTGGGAAGCCAGTCATTCTGGTACCTCCACTTTCTGTAATTTTCTACTTCTGTTTTCTAGGTACATTCTCTCTTACCTTACCAATAAATTATTGTTCCTCCTGAGTTTCTACTTATTGTTCCTCCTGAGTTTCTACTTATGCATTCATTTTTCTTTTAATAAGTCTTCATCAACTTTCAATGGTCTTTAACAACAAATCAGTTTCTTAATCTTTTAAGCTTCTTACACTTTTAAGCTTCAATCATAGTTTGTTGGTAGGAGAGGGGCCTCCCTCCCCATCAGTAGTTAGCTCATTCCTCCTCCCTCAGATACTACCTTAAACCCATTTCATTCTCCTTTTCTGACTTGTAATTACTAAGTAAGTCCTCTGGCCTTTTTTATTGAGAAATTTGTTTTGATCTGTTGAAGTCCACCTTCCTCTGAGCAACTGGTAAAATGTACTTTTTGTTTTTCCTCCTGGGATATTATTTTAAAAGATTAACCTATGCAAAGTTTTATTCCTGTTATCTCTGAAGACATGAAATCTAAGTTTTAGGCTAACACTTCTACTCCCATGACTTCAAATATCAAGTCATAAGTGCCAATAAGAACTGATAAATTCCAAGTGTCTACCTTCTACCCATATATGACCCTTAGCTGTCAAGTCAAAGATCTCACACTTACCTGATTATTATCAATAGTTTGGAATCAACATATATCTGTGTATTGGTTAACATTTTATCCTTTAATGAGTAAATTAATAATACCATCTCTGAATTCTGTATCCTTTAAATTCACCCTTCAAAATATTACCATTTGCTTAAAAAAAATAAAAATGTAAGCATATTCTTTTCTGATTAAAACTTAATTACAGGGAAAACTCCAAATTCTTTAACACACAGGAGCTTTCTGTCATAATTTGTAACTTCCTTTCATCATGGTTATTCTGACTCAAAGTTTTACTTTGTCAACAAATCAAAATTATTTCTGGTTTACTATTAAGGTCCCCTCCAAATCCTATCCCGTTAAGGAAAGAGGTATAATGCCAGATGGAAAAAGAAGACATTTAAGAATACTAATTCAAAAGTCTTATTCATGTGGTGACTCAGGCACAGCAGGGAGTAGAAGCCTCTATTGAAATGAAGAATCTAGGCTAAAATTATTAGAACTTTAGACTGCAGGTATAATATTTCGCAGTTATGGAAAGTACAATAAAGACAGAAGTATTATCTATGGGGTACTTATATTTCAAATGTTTAGTTTAGTATCACTACTACCATTTATGTGTAGCAATACAAAAAAGACATAGGTGGCAGACTTCAGTAACTTCTAAACTTCAATGAGAGAAACAAGGAAGCATTTAACTCTTTTTTTCTGGCAAAGTTGGAATTTTTTTAAAATCAATGCCTCAGCAATTTGAAATCATTGCAATAACTTTGGCAGATAGCATACAGGTATAATTATTGCCATAAATTTCAGTCACAGCCTTTTCATAAAACACTACTCTCTACACTTTCCCTAGAAATTACCAGTAGCCATCCTCATTGCTAGTTCGATAAAAAGAGACAAAGTAATATTTTATGCTTTACAGAAGTTTGAGAATGCCTGATCAATTCAAAGATCTTGTAGCATCTCTATTAGTTAGCCTTGAAAACCCATGAATAAAAAGAACTTTCTAATGGAATTGAATACAAAGAAGAGATCCAAGTGTACATTGTACTAAACATAAACAAGGCTAAAAAAAAAAAATTACAAATAAAAGCTGCTTCACCAAGCAAGTTATTTAAACTTTCAATTATTTTAGAAAAATTAAGAGGCAGGAGGAAATGCTCACCTGGAAACATTTAAAACTAGAGGTCTTGTTTCTTTTACAGAGAGTTAAAATGTCCTATTATAGCAATTGGCGTAATTATTCCAAATAACCATAAACGTACCTGTTTTCTCAGACATACAGCAAACACACTTATTGTCGCTTGCATTATTGGAAACGCAGCACACTGGACAGTCCCAAGATCCCAAAGGTCTTTT